ACCAGGTTTGAAAAAGGAATCAGAGCAAGAAAAGTTATTCACTAAGGTCTTCCTACCATGCCTATTGCTAGCATGAACAACATTTGGAGGAAAAAATGGCTGAGTAAGTGAACTGAGTTGAACCTTGTACCAAACTTGAGAAGCACTTTTGCAACTGAGGTTGGGCCATTGATCAGACCAAATTCTAACTACCTGTCTAAGTTTTCTTAGCTCACTCTTGGAGAGAATAGATTTAAGACAGGCCATAGCACCAACCTGCTTATCCCTGTCAGTTAGAGAACGCTGTTCTCTGAAAGAGGAAAGGTTGGGTTATAGCTAATGAAGTTGATTGGTTGTGAAAATCAGTTTGGATCAGTTACAAGGCATCTCTTTTCTACGAAAGGTAGGTTTTCTGTTGCCTCGGCTTGTTGGCTCCCCTCTGCAGCTAGTCTATCGGCACAGTCTTAGAACCACTTCACAGCTCATGTTGTATCCTCAGTGCTCCATGAAGCTTATGCTAGGATGTTCACTTGGTTCCCTAGAAGAGAAAAGAGTGTCTGCTTGCTTAATGCCTTCCTGGTAAAGTAGAACGAGTCCTTTTTTTTTTTTTTTTTACATCCCTATATTGATAATAGAGTAAGTTTATCACTTAGAGTTTGAGCTGGAGGAGACAACATTAAGAAAATTAAGTAAATACGAAAGGGGAGATGACAGTTTGGAATGGCATTCAAGCCACTGACTCAGCATCCACAGACTCTGGGAGGGACCGAATCAGGATGCTGGAGAGCACAGTCTGGTTATTCAGCGCTCATCCATCTGGACCTTCAGCGAGCTGAACTCATTTTCTATCTATAGAGTCTCTCGTTTGGATTTTCCTTTAAAAGTTATTTCCCAGGATTCTTTCAGGGTAAGGACAGAAGCTCCTCTAACTGCTTCACCCCACAGTCCCCCACCCCCACCAACCTCTTTAATGATTCTGGGCACATCACCTGGGCAAGACACACGTGCAGAAGTCTGGGATGGTTGTTTACAAACTCTAGCTGCTTACCTGGGGAAAGAATTCTGAAAAACTATGCAGCCCCATGTACATTTTAAAGTTGGCATCTATAATGTCTCACCATAAGTTCAAATAATTGCAAAAGATGTAATTGCTGGCATAATGATATTTTTAAATTGAACTCTTCCAACACACTTTGGAATGATTCCAGTATCCTCTAAGCATCATAGCTGTCTGAAACTTACCGAATGCAGTCATCATGAAGGCTTGAGGAGTCAATAGATGTACAGTGCCCTGCACATGACAAATATTATGTATTTGCTGTGGATGTGGGTGTATGGAGAGAGAGACGGAAAGGGGTGGCAAGATGTTAGCGGTAAATCTTAGGGGCGTTGCAGCAGATCATGCTGGTGCCCCACGCCACATCCTCTTAGCCCATGATTGAGTTTGCTCACAGTTACTGCCGTGCTCGTCTCTTCACCTCACATGATACATCTCTCTGCTTCTCTGCCGGAGGGCTTTCTCTGGCATAAAGGAGTTTGCTAACACTGTCACTAGCCACAACCTGGAAACCGAGGCAGTTGACTCCCTCAGGGTCAACCCTCAACCAGTGGGAGACAGGAGGCAGTAGAAAAAAGCCCCAAACTCCCCAGCCTCTGGTGAGACAACTGGGAAGCTTGTCATGCAGTTTCCCAGATGGTCCCCAGCAGGACTGAGCCCTGCAGTGGTGACTATCTTAAGAAGAACACATTATTGCTGTTTTTCCTTTTCCTGCCTTTTTCAAAGTAAGTAAATAGATTTTTTTTTTTAAATGTTTTAGAAAAGCAGCTCCATGGTATTGTTAGGCATTGTTCCTGGCTGTTCTCCAGAGCCTGGTCTATGGCCCTCCCAGAGATTCTGTAAGCTACTGAATGTCCCTTAGTAAATCCATTTCTGCTTAAAAACAAGTCTTTAGTACTGAATGTGTTTTGTAGCAAGAGGTACAGGAGAGAGGTTCTGAATGGAGGAATCCCTCTGTCACTCAAGGATAGCGAAGCCTCTCTCAGCCTCTATTATTCCTGTTGCTGCCAGAGAAAAATATGACCAATAATCTGATGGCTTGTAACAGCGCAAATTTATTATCTTATAGTTCTTTACTTCAGAGGTTCAATGTACGTCTCATTGGGCTAAAATCAAGCCCTCTACATTCTTTTTGGAGGCTCCAGAAAAGGCTCTGTTTCGTTGTCTTTTTCAGCTTCTAGAGGCTGCCCTATTTCTTTGTCACCTGGCCCCTTCCTCCATCTTCAAAGCCAACAACAGTGGGTCAAGTCCTTTTCACAGGGCATCTCTCTGATCCTTTCTCTGCCTCCCTCTTCCACTTTTAAGACTCCCATGATTCGATGGGCCCCATCTCAAGATCACCCGATTAGCAACCCTAATTGCATCTGCAACCTTAATTCCCTTTTGCCATGTGAGGTAACACATTCACAAATTCCGGGGTCAGGATGTGGCCATCTTTGGCAGAACCATTGTTCTACCCCTCAGAGCCTCACAACAGCTTGACCTCCATCTCTCCCTTCTCTAAGGCTGATAGGAACACCTAGCAGAAAGCTGTGGTTTCCCAAGCAAACAGGTTTCCAGGCCCTCTCCTGGGGGAAATGACGACGGCCAGCTACCAGTGGCTCAGACAGGAATTCTTGCATGTGAATAACAGACAGCAGTAATCGCTTAGACCTCTGCAAATTTAGGCTTAAGTGGAGAGACTTTTATACGTTCCAGGTTTATGCCCTCTAAAATGAGGAAATGAGGTCTTCATTCCTACATTCACAAGGTATAATATGGTTTTTAAAAATACCGTCTTGACTCAGTTTTGAGGGCCTGGCTAAAGGCCAGTTGGTTCCCCTTCTTGAGTAGCCAATTAAGTCCACATCTCAACCACCTCCCTTAGCAGGCGCTCACACTCCGGCTGCTGTATGCTCACCTAATTGCCCTAGGGCCAGGTGTCAGCCAGCCAGGGACAGCCCCTATGCCCCAGAGTCCCCTGAAATTATTCAAATCAGGCAATCCTAGCCCTTTATACCCTGCCTCACCTGTTCCTTCCCACGGAAACCACAATAAGGTGCTTTCCCATGGTTCCCCTTTCTCCTCTGCCTCATGACTGACCCCAATGCTCCCCCTGAGCAGCCCCCCCGGTGGCTGCTGTTTCTCCCCAAGGAGGCATGAGCATAATGAAACAGTGACACCCTTTCCAGTTGCTCTCGATCTGTGTCTGACCTCACCTAAGGTAATATGGTTAAAACACAGGGTAAGTGTGTTTAATTGATTTTTCTCACTTTTTAAGTTTGATTGATTTTCTCTCTGCAGAGGATTCAGGGAAGACCTTTCTCAACAGGTTCAAGGCTAATTTTAACGCCAACAGAGGATAGTCCAGAAAGGCCTGCGGCAACTCCGCTGAAGGCGCCCCTCTGCCCTCTCGCCCCTGAGGCCCAGAGACCCCACTGGGCCAAGCGCAGGGTAGGGGACCAAGCGTAACACTGTTTCTTTGGAACCGTCTTTTGATTGGTCGGGAAACCGGCCTCCAGAGATTCTGACTGGAAGAAACAGCTTCCTCTTCACAAATACCGTGAAACTGCTTCTCAGACCCATGAGGCCCCAGCGAGTCTTTTCTGTTTTCAACAAAACTTCTGAATCTCCTTCGCCATTATAAACAGTGCACCCTCTGCCCAAACTTCCAACCTTACTTCTCGCCTTCCGAAGCCCAGTCCCCTTTCCAGTCATGAGCCCTGTCTCGCTCCGGCATAATCTCCACACTCAGGGGGAAGCAGAGAAGCTGGGTCCAAGTACCTATCTGGGCAACCAGCCCATGAATTGGAAGCTCTCCCTCTGGCCATTCCCGTCTGCCCTTCCTGTCTCACTCTGTCCCATCCCCCCCTTTCTCTCTTCCCCCCATTTTTCTCCTACCCACTCAAGCAAGGGCTGCAGTGGATTCCACCCAGAGGCAGGAACCTGGGAGAGACACAGACAAAGCATTTATTCCTCTGGCGGAGGGAGCTCATTTCACTCCTCCGAGGGTGGCAGGATGGAAACTTCCTACACTTTTGTCTCTGCCTTGCTCTGAAGGAGGAGTGGTGCAGTTGTGTGGAATTTGCTGGGTTTGAGGACTGCTGTAGAAATTCCCCCTTAGTACTCTGAGTAACGTCCTTCCCCTAGTCATGCTTCCAGCTGAATTGTTTGTAAACTTTTCTTAGTGGGAGCTCCAGTGGTCTCTTACTGGAAGGTGCATCCATACCACTAGGTTTCTGCTATGGATCAAAGTTCCTTCTGCTTCTCCTTCCAGTTCTTCCAGTTCTTCCCGTTCAGCTCCAGGCTCCCCTCAACCTCACACAGAAAGAACCCCTCTCTCCAGTGTGTCCACTGCCCCAGTGACTCTTCCCAAAGCCAGTCCCAGCCTGTGCTCTGTGCTCTGTCCACGCTCCTCCCTGACCTGTGGGACTGAGATTTGGGCTCATTCATCAAGCAAAACCCTTTATTCTCAAAATTACCATAAAGCTAATATAATTCAACATAACTGTCAAAAGCAAAATGAATAACTTAGTGTGAAATCTACACTCAAGAAATATCTCTTGCTTGAGTTTAGCTTAAATGCAACATTGTTCCAACTCGTTTCTAACTTTTAAAATAGTTTCTTTCTTCCAAACACAGGACGTGGGAACAGCTCCCCAGGTTAATCAGTTACCTATTTCCCTGTTGGTTCTGGGTCACCAGAAAGTACCTGGAGTTCTTTCTCCTTCCATCACTCTGATTATTTGTTATAGTCCCAATTTAGATCCTCCTCCCCCCTCCCCACACTCATCTCCTGCCCTGGGTGCGGGGGGGGGGGGGGGGGGGGGAGTGGGGGAGTGGGTGGGGGCGGGGCGTGCAGCTGGAGGCGCAGGAGAGTGAGTCTTGCTTAACGGCTGGGAGCTGAGTGTATTCAGCTGGCTCCGCTGCTAACTCTGGAACCTTAGGTAAGTGTATTCAGCTGGCTCTGCTGCTAACTCTGGAACCTTAGGTAAGTGTATTCAGCTGGCTCCGCTGCTAACTCTGGAACCTTAGGTAAGTTTGCTTAACCTCTCTGAGCCTCTCTGAAAAATGGGGTCAATAATGATGGTACTGATACTATTTTATGTACTAGTAATAGTATGATACTATTATGTACTAATAATAGTATGATACTATAGTATGATACTTCCGTACTAATTTCTGTGATACAGTAATAATAATTTCTGCACTATAATAAAAGTACCGATACTATTTTCTTTACCAATAATTTCTACACTTTGGCAATTTCTGTACTAATAATACAGATATAATAGTAAGTCTGTGCTACTCATAACATAATCATGATAATAATTCTATAATTTCTATGCTCATAATATCTGTACTAATAATACTAATAGTTTTCTGTAAAATGAGGCTATAATAGTACTGATCTTACAGAGTTATTCTGAGTATTATATGAGAAAAAACAGGCAAACCATACTGAACACAGCACGTGGTACTTGCTTAATAAATATTAGCTGTTATTGTTGCTGTTGTTGATGTTGGTAGGCTTCTAGTCAGTCTCTCCAGGCCCTTGACCAGAGAAACTTGTGAGTAAAACTTAGAATGGGCTTGTTTTCAAGTCTGTCTTGGTAAAGGAAAGACCAGCCCTGAGCGGGATCTTCAGGGAAGGGAGAGGGTCGTGGCCCCCTGGGGCCTCTTCATGAACCTCCAGGCTGCCTTCCTGTCTGTGGAGGTCATTTGTTCCTGGAAAGAAGAGAAATGGGTATGCGAGGGGTTGGAATGGACCGCGTGGTCAAGAAGGAAGGGTTTCTGCTCTCTCTCGGGTGGAATGGGAATCTCATTCAGAGGAACAGGGATGGTGCTCCGGAGGAAGGTAGCTCAGCGGCCTCCTTTGTCTCTCCATCACGAGGAGGTAACCTGGGGCTTTGTCCCAGAGAAAGACGTCTCAGGAGTAATGGAGGGTCCAGAGGCAGGAGAGCAAGATCCCTAGAGAGAGCCAGGTCTGGAACAGAAACGAATATTGCAAATTTTCATCATCCTAATGGGTGGCTTGCGGGGGAGGGAAAGAAGGGAGTGGACCTGTTTGCTGTGGTCCTCCGTTCGCCTTCCAGAGGGAGCTTCCTTACCGGGTAGGAGCAGGCAGACACGGCTTCAGACTGGGCCTTTGGATCACATTTTTTCAGTGAGATTTGTAGGGCTTCCTTTCGGGCTCCCTATTTTATTGTAAGTGGAACCAGTCCTGAAACTACTTGGAGCAAAAGTCCATGAATGAAGATCAACTATTTCACATGTTGTAAGAAGTAAAAAAAAACAGAAAAATCGACATCTGTAATTCCCCCACCTTGATTCTCCACTTGCAGCCTAGCAGTGCCCAGGTCGGTGTCCACAGAAGCCTGAATAGTTAAGAAACAAAGAAATAAACACTTTCCCCCCAGGCCTCCTGCAGAAGTGGAGGTCCAATACCTTCCTTCTGGTGTTCATTCAAAGCACAGCTCTGAACCGAACATTCGTAATTGACTAAACAGTCTTCACAAAGTAAATGCAATTTTTCATAGAATAAAGATAATGCAGGATGCTTTCATTTATATGAAGTATCTAGAAAAGCAAATTTATAGAGACAGAAAATAGATCGGTGGTTGCCTAGAACTGAGGGTAGGAGTGGGGATTAACTTCAAGTGGCATGAAGAAACATTTTGGGTAGTGGAAATGTTCTAAAACTAGGTTGTGGTGATGGTTTTACAACTCTATCAGTTTACTAAAATCATTGAGTTGCACACTTGCAGTGGGAGAATTTCATGATATGTAAATTATGCCTCCACAAAGCTGTTTTTTAAATAAAGTCGTGTAGGTAACTGGTTTAAATTGGTGTGCCAAGTAACACAGAGATTAGTATCTACAGTATAGTCCTGACCACTTGCAAACCATGTGAGCTGGAGAAAATTGCTTCACCTCCCTCAGTGTGCAGCGGGAGATCTCCCAGTGTGTAAAGCAGGAGACGATAATGCATGTCTCTGAAGCAGAATGCCAATTAAATGAGATAACGTGCAGACAGCACTTAGCTTAGCAGCTGGCGTGAGGCCACTGCTTCTGAAAGTATTATACCTTGTCCTAGAACCGGGAATGTAGGGTGCCCTGCAGAGAGGTGCGAGTGCTGATCATTTCTTGACTTGGGGAGGGAAGTTGATTCTGGGTTTTTCAATGAGAATGATCTGCAAAGAACAGGTTGTAGCATTGTTTCCAGCATCTCTGGCCCACCAATGCCCCTGTGTTCCCTTTCCAGGGGTCCCTGGACATTGACTTTCACCTCCTCCTGGATCAAGTTGTGAGGATAAAAGGACTGAGATTTGTTACCAGGGACATGGAGAGAACAGAGGCTGCAGGTGCTCCAGGACCCTTGGTGACTGTCCCAGGCTGGCTGCCCTAGGAGATGCTCTAAGGTAGATATGATCTGCGCAACGAGATATGCACATGGGTCCCTGTCTCCTGAGAGATGCCCAGATGAGCCCAGAAAAGTCAAGTCTGACTGTTGGGAGCAAAATGGGATAACTGGAGTTTGTCTCCAAGAAGAGGCAGTGTTGGAGGAAGCGGGGCTGGGCCCAAGACCAGTGGGAGGGCTTGTTTTCTCCTTGGGTGTGGACGACACTTTCTTCTGAAGTTTTTAGGGACCAGGATGGATAGAATGAAGCAGCGGTCATTCTTGAAGGAAAGATGCACACGGATGCATCATTCACACCCTCGCATACACCATTCCCACTCTGTCCTTGCAGGCTGACCTGCTCATTCATTCAACACATATCTACCAAACTCCTACTATAGTCCCAGGGCTCTTCTAGACAAGGTCCTTGTCCTCATGGACTTTATATTCTTGTGGGAGACACAGACAATGAACAAAGGATTAAATGATTCTATACATAAATGCTAACGAGGTTGGGTATGCAGGGGGAGGGAGGGGCTCGCTTAGATTGGATGTTTGGGGAAGACCACTCTGAGGAAGCGACAATTAGCAGAGCCTTGAGGGATCAAAAGAAGCAAATATCTTGAAAAAGGGCATTCCTGGCAGAGGGAAGAGAATTTGCAAAGGCCCTGGGCCAGGTATGGGTTCTGTGTGTTCAAGGTGCAGAAAGAAACCAGTGTGGCTGGAGCAGAGTGAGAGGAAGGCACGGTGCTAGGAGAGGAGCTCAGGGTGCTGGTCAGGGCCCAGACCTTTTGGCCTTCCCAGCCACAGCAAACATGGATTTCATCCTAGGTTTGATGGGAAGTCGTTTGGAGGGTTTTGAGCAAGGAAGACAGGTGATCTGATTTAGAGAGGATTATTCTGTCTGTGCAGAGAACAGACTTTCAGGTGCGGGAACTTTCTCATCAAAGTACCAGCATAAAATTTCACACCAGAGTGAACAGCCCCTTCTGAGAAACTTTGTCCTCTCTAAGATAGCAAGAAATAAGGACAGTGGACCTCCCATTGCTGGAATGAGGAGACGAGTCTCTCTTCCTGCTGGGTCTTCTCTTTCCCATTTAGGGCCTGCATAGTGATGTGTCCCCCACTTTTCCCCAGCCCCGAGAATGAATGGGTTTTCTTGTTTGTTTGTTTGTGGAAGTTTACCTTTAAAAACAATTCAATCCTCATTAAAAACAATTCAATCCTCATTAATTCTCTGGCACTGAGTCTTGAAGACATTGAAGAGAACATTTACGAAGATCTGGAGGAAATTTACTATATAAAATGTTTTAACATGAAAAGAATCAATTACCTCCCTGTGTGCCACTCATGCTAATTCTTTCTTTCTTTTTTTGAAACATCTCTACAACTCTACCCGGATCTCCATTGCCTGGACTGAAAGAAGACCATAGGTGAGGCTCTCTAGCCAGAGACACCTTTCCATAAAATAACCCAGAGGAGCCAGAGCAGAGGAAGGTAGTATTAGTTTGCTGGGGCTGCCATAACGAAAAGCACAGACTGGATGGCTTACATAGCAGAAATTTATTTTCTTGCAGTTCTGGAGGCTGAAAGTCCAAGATCAAGGTGCCAGCATGGTTGGGTTCTGGTGAGACCTCTCTCCTCCGCTTACACATCTGCAGTCCTCTGGCTGTGTCCTTATGTGGCCTTTCCTCTTTCCTCCATGGAGAGAGAGCTCTGGTGTCTCACCTGGGGACCTACGTCTGTGACCTCTAATTTTCATCCATACATTCACTTAATCCAAGGCCACATGTGTACACTCAAGAAGTCCCCATGTAATCAATGTTGTTCCATAAGTGATAGCCATAGCCATGTGAGGGGTCTCAAATTCAGTGTTCCCAGGGGCCAGGCAGATGACATACATTTTAACAGAAGCAGACGTTATCTGCCAAAAAGCATTCAAATACCTTTAGTGTTTTCAAATGGTAAAAAAAATTTAAACAACTTCCTAGCCAAACAAAACACATCTGAAGGACTAATTTGGCCTATAGGCCACCACCTTATAACCCCTGGTGAATATAATGGTGTGACCTTTGTTCCCAAGAGTAGGAATGTGGGAGACAGAAGCGTGTAAGCAGACTCTTCTCCCCACAGGTGCGTCTCCACGGGCAGCTCTCCTAAGACCTTCGACCCTCCTAAGACCCTCAACCCTCAAGTCCCTGGAGGCAGAAATGTTCTGGGCCTGCAAAACAGTTAAGGGACATTAAGGTAACACTACTTTATGGATATGAACAGACATTTTTCCAAAGAAGATATACAGATGGCCAATAAACACATGAAAAGCTGTTCAACATCAATAATCATCAGGGAAATGCAAATCAAAACTACACTAAGATAACACCTTAAGCCTGTTAAAATGGCTATAATCACTAAGACTAAAAATAACAAATGTTGGAGAGGGTGTGGAGAAAAAGGAACCCTCATATATTGCTGGTGGGAATGCAAACTGGTGTAGCCACTGTGGAAAACGGTATGGAGATTCCTCAAAAAACTAAAAATAGGAATACCATACAACCCAGCTATCCCACTACTGGGTATCTATCCAAACAACTTGAAATCAACAATCCAAAGTAACATATGCACCCTTATGTTCATTGCAGCGCTATTCACAATAGCCAAGACATGGAAACAACCCAAGTGCCCAACAACTGATGGTTGGATAAAGAAGATGTGGTGTGTGTGTATATATATATATATATATATATACACACACACAATGGAATACCACTCAGCCATAAAAAATGACAAACTCATCCCATTTGCAATAACATGGAAGGACCTGGAGGGAATTATGCTAAGTGAAATAAGCCAGTCTGAGAAAGACAAACACCAGATTATTTCACTCATATGTGGAATATAATCAAGTACTGGGACAAAGAAAACAGTTCAGTAGTTACCAGGGGAAGGGGGCTGGGGAGTGGGCACAGGGGGTGAAGGGAGCACTTATGTGGTGATAGTCAAGAAATAATGTACAACTGAAATCTCACATTGATGTAAACTATTATGAATTCAATAATAATAATAAAGATGACACCACTCTACCTCCACCCCCACCCCCAAACAGGGCATCTTTCTAACGTCCACAGCTGGCCAATTTATCTCCCATTCATGGAAGAGAAATTTGGGTTCATTACTTTATATCAGTATAAAGCAATAGCAAAGTTAATATAAAATCAAAGTTATCATAAAATAATAACGCTTTAGGATCCCAATTTAAAATATTTCTCTTCTCTCAAAGTACTTAAAAAGATCATTTTCCCTCTAAAAACGCAAAGAGGGAATGTTTCCAGAAGTAATCTGAAATCTTTGTAGCCCTTTGGCTGGAAGGTTCACCAACCAAAAATGCCTGTTATATTTTGACTTTGTGGACCTTAAAGACAAAACTGAGCTCAGAGACCTGCCAGAGGAACAAGGAGCCCTGAGGTCTGAGCCCACCTCTGAGAACAGCATCCCATTGACCCCAGAGACCCCAGCACAGAAGCCTTCATTGTCTGATTAGGGTTAAGGGTTGAGAAGGAAAATTGGTCCGGAGCCCCTTCCTATGTGTCTTCCTTAAAAGAAGCAGACTTATTTAGGTTTTTGAGGTTTATCTCTGTCTTTAAAATATTAAATTCCCACTAGTGCCTCCCAAGTATTTCCATTTTTCATTGTGGCTACAAATTGAGAGACATAGTAAATTACTTAACGAAAAGGTAAAATTAGGGGGAATTTTCCCAGTTTTAGGGTTTCATAATGAAAGGAATCAGGTATTTTATCACGTTATATTTGACCAGTAGTATAGATTCCTGCTTTCCTTGTCCCGAGTTTATACTTTTACTTCTGGTTCTAGAGCATGGGGGACTGTGAACACTTATGGGTGACCCAGGAAGGGAGACGTTAGCTAAATAGGTGGTGAATGTGAAATCACAAGGCAACATGTGTACTCAAGGGAAGGAACATGGGAGATGTCAGAGGAGGAGTCTTACACAACTGGGAGTTTAGGAACGACTTCCCTGAGAAAGCAAAGGAAGTTGAGAACAGAAAGATGGCGGGCGTTTACTGGGAGAAGGGAGGAGCGCAGCAGCTTGCAGGAAAGCCCTGAGATGGAAGGGAGTGCAGAGTGTTGACGGAGCCAGAAGTTGACCAAGGCGGCTGGACGCAAGGAAGAATGGGAGGGAATGATGCCTGATGAAGCAGGAGAGGTGTGAACCTGATGACTCAGTGCTGTGGAGGCCACAGTAAGAAAGCTCCTGTGGTTGTAAGTAGTGAGAGAGAGGGATCATGATCATCTCATGCTGCGAAATGATGACATTGGCTGTGGCGTGATCAGATGGTAGAGGAGGCTGAGCAGGCATAGGGCAAGCAGACTGACAACCACTGCTCTAAGTCATGAGACAATGGTAATAGTTTGGACTAGCGTGGGAGCAGTGGAGATGGAGAGGAGGAGGAGATGTGAGAGCTATTGAGGCATGTGAGTGGTTGGATGTGAGGGGCAAAGGAGAGGGAGATGCTCAGCTAACTCCTGGCTTTCTCACTTGAGCACTGGGATGTGTGGACGTGCATTCACACAGACAGGGGACACTGGAAGAGGAATGAATTGGGGGGTGAGAGTGTGAGTCAGTCTTGGACAGGTTGACTTGGAAGTGCTTTTGCATCTCACAGTGACCTCTGGTCTCCCAGTTCACAGATCCCTATCCATAACGGTTGCCATAGTAATGGAAAGAAGTTATCTCCCAGGTGTGGAGAGACAGAAGAGAGCCACTTGGTGATGCTCTCTTTCCACCGCCCACCCACTCTGGAGCCTCTCCAAAGAGTCCACTGAAGATGCTTTGTTTTTCATTTTGGTTGAAGAGGAAATTCAAGTCTCCTATTTTGAGGAAAAAGGAGTGGGTCTCCTTAACATAGATATGGTGTTCTATCTACTCTTCCCCTTCCTGCCGTGGAGGGATTTGCCACTCACTTTAAACTTGGAGAATGAGCTGAAGCAGGAGACGAACGAGAGAGCCAGAACCCTGAGAACATCGATGGAGAGTGAGGACTGGCCTGAGCCTAGTATAGGGAGTGACTTCTCCTGCCTCTACTCTATAATCCAGCCAGAAGGAGCATCTTTCAGTTCCTCCAACAAGTCAAGCATCCTCTCCGTTATGTCCTCACTTGAGCTGCCCCCTCCCCTTCCTCCTCTCCTACGTCCCTTTCATCTGGACATGTCCCTAATCACATTTCATTCTGTGCTCAGACGTTCCCCTCCTTTAGGAGGGCTTTGCTGGTGTCCATGGCTGGGATCAGTGTTTATAGCACAGACTGCTCAATATCCACTTTCTCCTTTCTTTCTTTGTAACACAACTTCTAATTTTTAAGCTGAGCATATGGTGCTTGGGATAAAGACAAAATTTCCCAGCATCTTTTGTAGGTAGGTGTGGCCATTTGGCTAAGCTCTGGCCAATGATATGAAAATGGAAAGGTTTGCAACTTCTGGGATGTGATCTTATAGGGAGGGGACATGCCTTTCTTCTTCCTCCATTTGAATATGATGGCTGGTTCTCTAGCCACCAAGTTGGACCATAAAGACACAGGCCACAACCCGGGGATGGTAGAGCCTTGAACCGGAAAGAGATGAGGTTCGTTTCCTAATGACTTCATAGAGTTACTATACATTCTGCCCTGCCTACCTCCTGCTTTTGTTTCTGTAAGAGAGAAACAAACTTCCCTCCTGTGTAAGGCACTGTTATTTTGGAGTCTGGGTCCTATGCAGTGAAATCGAAACCCAACTTATCCAGTGTCCCTCCCCTGTATTTTTTCCTGTGGAAACATTTACACTCTACATTATCAATGCATAGTTACTTATTTGAGTGAAACAAAATATGCCTTGCTAGAGTTTACACTCTTCTTCTTAGGCAGATGGCTCCAAAGTTGCCCCCACCTAACATAACCCATCACTCACATATCTGCAAGTGTTCAAGAAGTAACTGGAAAGCCAGGCCCGATTATCCAAAGGCAAGGCTGTGGAACCACTTACATTACTGCTGTCCACTCTCGGGGTTTATAGCCTGTAGGTGATGCCATGGTTAAGACTGTGTCCGTTTCTCCTCTAGGGCACTTTGTCCCTCTTGGACTGAACTGTCAAAGAATACCACCAAGAAACCCACAGAAAACAAGAAGGCAAAAAAGCACACACAAAGGGGCCGGCCTGGTGGCACAGCGGTTAAGTCCGCACATTCCGCTTCAGCAGCCAGGGGTTTGCCGGTTCGGATCCTGGGTGCGGACCTACATGCCGCTTGTCAAGCCATGCTGTGGCAGGAGTCCCACATGTAAAGTAGAGGAAGGTGGGGTGTTAGGTCAGGGCCAGTCTTCCTCAGCAAAAAGAGGAGGATTGGCAGCAGATGTTAGCTCAGGGCTAACCTTCCTTGAAAAAAGAAAAGAAAAGAAAAAAGCACATAAAAATGTCTTATAACTGGCATACATCTATCCTAGAATACATGTCCTGATGCTGTGGTATTTGGCAAATCAAAAGTAAATTTTAAAACTCTGATGGTTTGGCATTTAGAATATTGAAAGCAATCTGGAAAATCCCAGTAGCCAGCATTTGCATCTCCATCACTAGCTGCAGAAACAGATTGTCAGGATGAATTTGGGGAGGACCAGACGAGTGAGTGTATCTGGGTAGATCAGCTCATTTGCTGCAGCATTAGCGGGTTTGCTGACATGCTCTTTAGCAGACTCCAGCCGTGAGTCTGTGTCGATTAATTCACCTTCCTCTCCCCCAGAGCCTTTCAGAGGTCAAATACTGTGTGATGGTGTTTTATGCTCTTACACCAAGGGTTTCTGCTTTAATTGGCTCACCTGTAATTGATAAAAGCTTCCAAGTATAGGCAAAAGTAATAACAGCCAAGAGATAGATAAAGCACAAAACCTGGACAATATCCTAGAAATCTGAGATAAAAATAATTACATATCACCAATGGAATAATATCCAAATGTCTGGGCAAATCTAATCATCTTACAGCATTGAAGTCTCAATTATGCTGGAGTTTTGGACTTTCAGTGTCATAAGCCAGCAGAAGCCACACTAATAACTCTTATTGGAGGGCAGATGTTTAATAGCTAAAATGACTAGTTAATTTACCATGTAATATTCCATCTCATTCTTCTCTTCCAGCTCCAAAACCACAGTCACATGCCACAGCTTGGAACAAGAAAGAATCTCTTGTCTAGGGCCCCTGCCAAGGGAC